CGGCGGGGGTGCCAGCCGGGGGGCAGGCCAGCCCCTGGGGGCTGCCAGCGGCGCGGGACGGCCAGCCTCGCGGTGTCCTTGACACGGGACGGCCAGCCTCACAGCGTCCCTGCCACGGGGTGCATTGTTCACGAAAACACATGGGGAAGGCTGAGGAGGACAGACTTGCTGGCTGCGTCGGGCTTCCTGCCTCCCGGCCACGACCGCCGCCTGGCCTCATTGGCCCCCCCGCCCCCCCCCGCCCCCGGACACCAGCCGATAAGTTCCTGACCTCCTGCCCGGCTTTCCAGCCCTGTCCAGCCCCTCCATGGTGTGGGGGCTTTTGTGCTCACTGTCCCCCTGCCACCGTGGCACGACAGCTGGCAAACCTGCGTCTTCTTCCTCACCACCATGGGCACGGCCGAGGCAATGCTCCCCATCACCTCGCCATACACCTCCGAGGGTGCAGGATGGCACTATGCCTCGGTCCCGGTGCCCCATCTGCTGACCACCCCTTCCCTGCCTTCTGCGAGCTGGGTGGCTGGAGACCCTCTGTCTTGCGCTTCGGGTCCTGCATCCCTTAAGCACCCTTTCCGTGCCCTTGCCGGTGGGTGGCATCACGGATCAGGACCTTGCCTGGGCCCCAGGGGCACCGCACAGCACCGGGGCTGGGGCAGGCAGAGCCACGGGCATGGGGCAGCCCCACGGGCGCCGCTTCGGAGGGGCTGCCGCCCTGGGCAGGACAGTGCCCCCATCCCACTCATCATCCCATCCTACTCATCCACCTGCACACCCGACCCAGCTCGGGAGTGTGTGTTCTCCAAAAATCCCCCGTTTGGATTGACAGGGGCCCAGGAAGGCTGAGGAGGAAGAGTGGGGGGGGATGCGACACGGGTGTTGGAAGGATACTTCCCCCTGCAAAACGCACCTACTGCACAGCCCCCATGCGCCAGCCCCGGCTGGCGCGGAGACACCGACCTTCTCCCCACCGTCCTCGTATCTGCCCAAATGACAGCAGGGACTGGGTGCAGCATGTGCCGAATTGCCCATCCGCCCCGCACACACCAGCGTGAGCTTTTTCAAATAGACAGGCTTTGTAGTGAGAGGGTGTAGAGGGATCCTGCAAGCCTCTGGTTGTCACTGCGGCAGCCTCCCTCGCCCTGCAGCCCCCCCGCAGTCATGTACAGCCACGAGTTTTTTCCCTGGGTGACTTCTCACACGCTGGCAGAGCACGACCTCGGGCTGACACGCTGCAAACCTGCCTCCTGCCCTTGCTCAAACCCACTGCCATCAGCACTTTGCTGCAGCTGCTTCCAGCACTGCTCTAAGAGTTTTTACTTGCAGCCTAAACCCCCCCCGGCTCCATCCTTCTGGCTCCAGCCCACTGGGGATGGAAGGTTTCTCCTTCCCGAATACAAATATAACTGTAATCTGCTAAACCCCGCTGTTGATTCCGACTGCATCCTCCTGTCCTGAGCTTTCCTACAGTGCGCCTTTTATACCGGTAATAGCACCAGGCTCCTTCTCCCATCATTGTTGACTCGACAATGAAAACTGTTTGTATTATTGTGTCCCCGAAGCTTTGCCAATAGCACATGTGTCCCGAGCTGATAGCAACAGGCTTTGGCAAGGCTGTGGCTCCATCAGATAAGAGCCTTTAACCTTATTTCTCCAGCTCAAGCACGCCACGAAGGGCTGTTCTGTCGTGAGCCTTTGCTTATCCTTCCCGAGCGCTTTCAGGTCCGAGCAAGGTTGAACGGGCCAAGCAAGAGGGGTCATTAGGAGGAGGGCAGAGGTGGAGGTGTTCGGGACGAGCAGCCTGGGAAACAGCCTCGGCTTGGGTGAGAGAAGAGCCCTGGAGGGAGATGGAAAGATAGAGACGCTTTCCCAGGCAATTTAAGGGCTAAATGCATGGCCGTCCCCTGCCTTCCTCGGGGACCCGCTCCACCCCGCTGTGCTCCACCTTGGCCCGGCTCCCGTGCACAGCAGGAGCGAAGTGGAGGAGAAATGCTGGAACCCGGAGGCCCTCGCACTCTCCCGGCTGGCCCGCGAACAAAGCCTTTCCCTTAGAGACCTTCCCTGCCGCCTCCCTCCTGCCCCCGGCCCCCTGCGCCCCACCAGCCGCGGGGATCCCCTGGCATCGGCGCAGCCTTCATCCCCAGGGGTCCACGCCGTCCTCCTCCTCCCAGCCTGCATCCCTGCACCAAACTCCCCTGCGGCCGCTCGCAGCATCCGCAAGCCCCAGCTCTGCTGCTGGGGGATTTTGCTGCCATTTTCCCTGAGCTGCAGCACAAAGGATGCTCTGAAATCAGAAAGTGAAGAAAAAGGTGCTGCCTGTGGCAAGCTTTTAAATCTCATTTTTAGGCCAATTTATGGGGGGGATGTCACAGTTCTTGGGGTTTTGAGCTGCAAATGCTCATTTCCCTTCCCTTAAAGTCCTCAATACAGCACCGAAAAGCAAAAGTTGTTCCTCTGCTTGCAGGGAGGGAAAGCTCTCAGGCCTTTTTCTTTATTCTTAGTATTAGTATTGTAATTATTATTATTATTGTTCTCTCTCAGGAAAGAAACACTCTGTCAAAATTACCCTGATACATCCTGCCCTTTGCTGGGGAGACTGTTGTCTCTGAAGGGCCCAAGGAGGGGTTGGGTGGCCCCGTGCACTGCACAGCACGTGGGGAAACTGAGGCACAGAGCCACAGCAGTGTCTACCCCCCTCTGAGCCAAAACCCCTCTCTTGCACTTGGGTTTTGCACTGAGGGTTTCCCTGTCTATGTGAAGGTGAGGTTGCTCTCAGCAACATCCTCATCCCTGCTGCTGGGCGGTGAAAGCCTTGGCGAAGCAGAGAAGTAGCCACGAGACCCCGTGTGCCAGGAGGCGGGCTGCGAGCTTCGGCAAAGGTTGTCATTGCCAGGGATGCTGCAAAGGGCTCCCCTTCCTCCGGGGGTGATGCAAAGGGCTCCTCTTCCTCCAGGCCTGGCTGGGGTGATGCTCACGAAACAGGCGACTGCCTTCCAGGGATCCTGTGAGCAAACTGGCCAGTGCATGGAGAACCCGAGCGGAAAGCGCTGGGTTCAGGGGCTGCAGACAAAGCGGGGAGAGGGGAGAGAGGAGCACAGCGCAGCCAGCAGCCATCTGCCATCTGTGGCAGGCCGGTGAGGTAATGCCTTACGCTAAGTTAAAACATGTCGGGAGCCTCAGCAGCTCTTGAGAACAGCAAACCTTTCCCAGATGGAGATGTCCTGCGCTGCTGCATCAGCCCTCCCGGCGAGGGAGAGGATGGGTGACCCTCCTGCTGCCGGCCACGGGGCTCGGTGGGTGCAGGAGTGCAGCCAGCCGCCCCCTCTCCCCTGCTCGCCTGCTGCCGGAGCTTCATTTTAGGGAGCAGAGAGGCAATAACCAGCTCAGCCCTTGCTGACGAGCTCCTGAGGACTGAGACGCAAAGCGGTCGAGGTGTGATCGCCGTGTTGCCTTCCTCAATTCCCCTCCTCTCCCCTTCTTGAAAGTGGCATCCTCATCCATGATGTAGCACAGGCCCATTTATCCGTGGTACTTTCAGTCAAATGATGCTCAAAGAGCAAGGGATGAGCAAACACCCGGCGGGGCGCGGAGGTCGGGAACCCAGAGAGCAGAGCCCTGGCGAGAAAGGCTTCTGCAAAAGGGGGGCTGCACTTTTCCTTGGGGGGCACATCATCTCCTGGCAGTCCCCAGCGTGGCAGGGCCGTTGCTGTTGGAGGAAAGCAGGGGACACGGTCGCCGAGGCTGCGGGTGAGGGTTCACTGCTCCATGGAGAGGGGCCACGGTGGAGCTGCACCCGGCCATGGTGCTCGTGGGCACGCGTGGCGGCAGGGCCACAGATGGGCGGCCCCGACCCACCTCCCCAAAAAAGCCAGGCTCAGAAATCCTCCTAATTGCAGTTTTCCTTTTCTTTCCCCAGCACCCAGAGGAGGTCAGGCAACCCGGAGCAGCGAGCCTGAGCATGCAGAAAGAGCAGGATCCCGGTTCTTGGCTGCATCTCCTGCACAGACACCAGCGAGCAGCTTTTTCTGCCAATTCGAGTGATGGAAGAAGCGAATAACCCTGGCGTGCCCAGGCTCTGCACAGCCCAACTGTCGGCCAGCTGCTTGTTCCTGGGAGGATGCGGTGCCACAGGCAGAGTGCATTTTCTTGCTATAATCGAGAAAAGAAATTGTGCCGATCGGAGCAGCTGAATGGCAGCCAAATCTGCTTCTCGGCGGCTTTTCTACACTCTGTATTCATGTATTTGGCATGAGTAGCTCTGCATTGAGGTAATTCATTAATGCCAAACCAAAAATGTGTTTATGGGAGTCTTGAAATGATTGGTAGAAGTGTAAGACTTTCCTTCCTAAAAGCCTGGGCTCTCTCTGTGATGGGAACCGAGTATTAAAGCAACGACTGCTGCCGCAATCAGCTGCCGGGGAAGCGACTGCAGCCAGTGCACGCATGCGTGCCCCGAGCACACCCGCCCCACGCGCCCCGGCATGCTCAGCCCTCCTTGTGCACCGCACCGTGCCGAGCCGAAGCCTTTCCCCGGCATTAGCCCGGCTGTAAGCACTGTGGGTGGGATTTGCAGCAGCTTCACTCACGCTCGGGACGTGGGGGCTGCACCCCGGGTTTCAGGGGGAGCGGGTCAGGGAGCAAACACAGGGTGATGTGGCTGGAAGTGCGGCACGCCGAGCTGGTGGGACCATCACCGGAGAGGCAGGGCTGTGCAAGAAGGGGCCGTGGCAGGGCAAAGGCAGAGGAAGGGGAGGCAGGACGGCCCCGGTGAGGACCAAGGGCTCTGGCCACCACCCGGGAGGCTGCGACAACTGCGCCTATGAGGAGCAAACAGATTTTTCGGGTTAGCTGTGGGTTTCACTGCTCGCACAATGAGTATTGCTGTTGTCGTTCCAGTTATAATCCTGTATAAACAAGGCTGACCTCTGGTTATTGAAAAGAGCTGAAAAAGAAAGGCAACTTTCTCCGCTTCCTCGGATGCGGTGCCTGATTGTTGGGCTTGGCCAGCACAGTCCGCACCACGCTCCCAGCTCAGCCCTGCAGCCGTCGGGGACCTGCCGGCATGGGTGGCAGCGGGGCAGAGTGGCAGCGATCACCCAGGCCAGCACGTTCTCGGAGCAGAGAGCCACTGTGGCCCAGGGCACCTTTCTGCTGTCCCCGGTGCCCTTCACTTGTCAGATAGAGATGAAATTTTTGCTCTTTGCTCAAGAAAAAGAGCAAATGAGCAGAAAACAGCTGAGCT